CCTGGGTCTTAACCTAAAGAAACAAAAACGGAACAGAATGCAGACCCTCAGCTCTAAACTCCCACCACACACCCCTGTGCTAGGGGAGACCTGCAGTGTGCCCCACCATCACCTGCCCTCAGAGACTGGGGGAACAATCAACCACCCCCAGGAGTCCGCTAAAGGGACTGTCCCCAAGCCTACCTGAGAGGAGCCGGTGCCGGAACCAGGATCTGCTTGCTGTGATTAGCCAGCTACCATGGCATTTTGTCTGGCGTGGTCCAGAGCCTCTGCTGGTTTCCACGTCCCACCGACCGCCTGAAGTTGAATCCTGTGCCTTCTATCCTCCTGGAGACTGGAACCAGCGTCTCAGGCACCCATCAATGACGTCACTGCGCTGGACTTCTTCCAGTCCTTGGAACGCAAGGCCCCAGCCACCGAAAGTCGCCTGGTCTTCCTTCGGCCCTGCGCACCTGTACAGCCACGCTTCGGAGAAAGAAGTCCTCCCAGGCCCCAGAGAGAGTGATGAATCGGACTCACCGCCGGACCCTCCCCGCTCCTCTGCGAGTGACCAGTCATTCGCGGTCCCTCACCTGAGGATGAAGGCTTCAACCCGCAGCCCCACTCCACTCACCGTGGAGGGATCGCGTCGGGAGAGGTGGTAAGTGAACCCCCGGAGCTTACGCTCTTCCAGGACTGCCCCAGAGAGTGCAGAGACCCCCTAGGTTCCGAACGTGTTCCTTTCGGATCAGGAAACACTAGAAAAAACTGGGGATGGAGGACTGGAGGTCCACGGCATGGGGATGGCGTGATGGTGTTTCCTGACCTAGAGGGTGGAGCTCTACGTCTCAAGGGGCTGTCCTAAAAGACGCAGGGAGAAAATGTATTAACTCGTGGCAGTCTCAGAATATCCGAAAAGATTAAACAGCCTTTCCACACAATTTGAAGCTGTTTGAGCTCCAAAGGGTGGGACAACTCAATATTGAACCATACGAACTAAGACTGGGATGGCATTCAAGTTCATGTGTGCGGAAAGGAAGGCATCCCAACAGTGTTGGCAATATAGTGTATTTGTCAATGACCAATAGATTAGTCTTTATGATGCCTTTTGGGCTTTAGGCGCCTTCAGTTCCGAGAACCTGGGTGGATAAGTCTGGCAAAGGAATAGATCTTCCTGCTAGTTATGTGATGTGCTAAACTCAAGCAGTCTAATTATTGGCCCCATGTTTATATGAGAGGCCAAAAGCATTATTTCGGTTACTTTAGGGGGGGGGGGGGCACTGTAAAATTATTTGCCCCTGGGGATTTCATTTTCGTGACTTAGAAAATTGACATTTTTGTGTGCTTTTATTTTGGATCTGGCTGGGTTTTTTGGCTTTGGGAAAATGGCTCCAAGAATACTCAGTCTTGGTATAGATTTGATTTGGCCTCTACATTTGGAGCAATGGGAAAATGGTTGCCGCCATTTTGAACTTGACAATGGGTGAGTAGCTACATTTCTTGATGTTGGCCTAAAGTTTTACTATGTTTAAGTCCCAGATCACATGATGAAACAAGTCAGGAGAGGGGGCCCACTACACATTACTGCCAGCAGTATCAGCATAGCTTTATAACCACTTGCCTACTGGGCACTTAAACTCCCTTCCTGGCCCGGCCAATTTTCACCTTTCAGTGCTGTTGCACTTTGAATGACAATTGTGGTCATGCAACACTGTAGTCATATGACATTTATTATTGTTTTAACACAAACAAGGGTTGCTTTTGGTGGTATTTAATCACTACTGGGTGTGTTTTTTTTTTCTTTTTGTGCCAAAAAAATACAAAAAGATCCAACAATGTGAAAAGAAACTGTTTCTCTTGGTTTCTCTTTTCAAATTTTTATAAACCGGTAACTTTTCTCCTTCACCAATCTGTTGATGGTGCACTGATGAGGTGGCACAGATAGACAGCACTGATGACGCTGCACTGATCTGCACCAATGATGGGCACTGATCATCAGGGAATTGATCATCAGTTCCCTGATTATCAGTGGCGATCCATCCTCTGCCAATTGCCGGTTATCTGCAGTACTTTCCTCACACTAACAGCGCAAGGAAAGTGCAGCCGATAACTGCCAACTGCATTTACCGTTGATCTGCCGTGATCACGTGGTAAAAGGCCACTGTGCTTGGCCTTTTACCACATCATCTGATCAGCTGTGTCGGTAGGACACAGATCGCCAGGTGTGAGCCCCCAGGGGCATGCGGGAGGGCATCATATGATGCCCTCCCTGGACTGTAGCCAAATGACAGCTACAGTGCGATTGACAAGGGTTTAAACACTGCTCCGAAAATCTGCATCCTTAAGGGGGGCAATAAACTCATTGAATGGAAATGTAAACAAGCATGATCTCTTTTGGGCTTTAATTTTAACAATTATTTGGCTGGAGACTTGCGGCCTTAAAATGATACTTACTGATTCCAAGTGAAGTGGAGGAATGTTGCCAGTTCTGCCACCCATAGTGTTGATTAAGTGTGTTTGACCTTCCCTTTGTGTGGCTTAAACATGAAGGTGAGCGACACGATTAGGAGGTGATGGTTCACTGTAGTGGATGGAGCACATCATTTTTTATATTGAGCATGCATGATATATGCATGTCACTAAACACCAAGCACATTGGATATTCTGGGACTGTCAGTTTAGCATTTTGAAGGTGGTCAGATTATGTGTATGTGTTTACATGCGTGGAATGTTTTTGTGTCTGGGAGTAGTTGTGAAGTTGCGAGGGAGAGTCTGATTTGGAACGCTCGGGAGATGTCAGCTAGTTAGTGATGTTTGGAACTTTATTGCTCTCATCAGTTCGTTCCCTCATTTGGTTTGGTGTAGTTACCTGCTTTTCTTGGGCTGGGGAAACTGGGCCCAGGACATTTGGCAGGGATTAGACAAATTTCTGTGTGGCAACAGTTTTTAACACTTTTTTCGGTTTGAACGCAATACGTTGAGGAGCCCCAAAGAAATACAGCGTGTTGTGGAGATATATTTGTGTTCAGACAGAGTTTAGCATTGCTTTGCTCTGCATTCCCAAAAGGATGCTCATTGGCTTATCATGAGTGATTATGATTGTTCTAGACAAGCACATTAATACATACCCAGATCTTCCTCCTGGCCTGACTGCAGTGGGGGGAGCCTCTCCTCCTCCTGCTGATGTTGTGCTGTGAATAGGACATTGACATGTGAGATGTTTGATGTTCTAGCAGCCTGTTCAAAGTTACAGGGTGCATTCCCAATGAGTGCTTACCAGGAGGGAACATCTCTTCATCAGCGTATGCGTGATTTGTTTGATCTGAGGGGCTGGCAGGGGCAGCACCTGGCTCGGGACTGGCTACAACACAAAACAAAATGAACAACAAATGTAAAGCAACACTATTTCACACACGTTCCTTTAAGAAAAGAGAACACAACTTTAAAGACAATATGGACATGTGTAGTGTACTTACCACTCTGCCAATCATCAGTATCTCCATAAGCCATCACCCCAAAAATCGTGTTGAGGCTGATGATTGGCAGAAGTGCCTGTTCTTCCGGAGTCAGGTGCTGAACATAAGTGGGGTCCACTTATCACGCATACGTTTCTTGATGTTCTGGAGGCCCCGGCGTATCCTCCAGCCCACTGCATTCACGGCCACCGCAATTTCCTCCCACAGTCAGTCCTTTGCCCCGACCGCTGCGGGAGGACCTGGGCCCCAAGATCAGGTCAGCTCTTTCAACAAAAGCCACCACCAGGTCCCATCACAGGAGAAGGGTGGAAACTTTGGCTGGGACGGGGCCCAGGCCTGGGGCCGGGCCCAGCCCCGTTTGCCTCCCCATGATGTCCCTTCTTCGGGACTAGAAGGGGAGGCAGCAGCCTCAGCTTCCTGCCTCTTTGCGAAAGGAAGCCTGGCCCCTTCTGCCACCAGCTTGTCGCCCCCTCACACCTCAGCCAGACCCCCGGCCCTCCATGGGCCCTAGTAGCCCCCCTGGCAACTGGCTCAGGGGAAGGCCCAGTGTCCCACTGGCCACCACAGCCCTCCCTGGAACCCCGGCCTCTTCGGCCCCTTGGGGGTGCCATGGGAGTGCAGTGAGTCTGGCTGGGTGCTGTTTGCAGCAGCAGGTAGCCCATACAAATATCAAAATCTGCAACAGAAAAAGGGGACATTAGTTGTCTGGGCTCAAAAGACAGCACATGCCCTGGAGGAAGGGCCACACTTGCCAAAATACGAAAATGGCTTTCTTGGCCAAAGGGGAGATACGTCAGAATGCTGCAAAGAGAAAAAGATAGAATGGCCAAAAGTCAGGGGTGTGGGCTCCAACAACAACAACACATGCCCTAGGGGGACAACACTTACCCAAACTGCAGCCCAAGATGAGGGGGTAAATCCATCCAAAGTCAAAAATCTGCAAAGAGAAAAAAGACAGAAGGGCAAAAGTGTGGGCTCCAACAACAGTAAATTGGACTCTTGGCCAGAGAGAGGTGATGAACAAACAACACACTTAACAAAAAAAAAAAAATGCACGTCTATGGCCTCCAGAGAGAGCACAGGGCCTGCTTGAGGGGGACCCTGAAGCAAAGTCAAAATGCCAACCCAAACAACGTGGGAGGTAATACATAAACAGGTGTAGAGGAAGAAATACTACATTTGGCCAGACAAACACCACATTAGAACATAAGTAAATTTTTTTTGCAATGGCACACTACAGGTGCTACAAACAGCTGATGAGCTAAATAAAAGGCACAGATACAAGAAAAAAAAATTGGGCAAATTAAGTAGAGAAGAATATGTTTGTTTAGAGGTAAGAGTTGTATAGCATTTTAAGATTACCTTTAACCACTTGCCCACAGGGCACTTAAACCCCCTTCCTGCCCAGGCCAATTTCCAGCTTTCAGCGCTGTTGCAGATAGAGCTTTATATTGGTGGTATTTAATCACGTCTGGGTTTTTTATTTTTTCTTAAACAAACCCAAAACCACTGAAAATTTTGAAAAAAAATGTTTTCTTAGTTTTTTTTTAAATTTTGTAAATAAGTGATTTTTCTCTTTCATTGATGTGCGCGAATGAGGCTGCAGTGATGGGCACTGATAGGCTGCACTGATGGACACTGATAGGTGGCACTGATGGGCACTGATGGGGAGACACTGGTAGGTGGCACTGAAAGGCAGCACTCATATATGGCACTGATAGGCGGCACTGATAGGCAGCACTGACGGGCATTGATAGGTGGCACTGACTGGCATTGATAGGTGGCACTGACTGGCACTGATAGGTGGCACTGAAAGGCAGCTTAGATGGGCACTGATATGTGGCACTGATGGGCACTGGCTGGTGGCATGGATGAGGACGGAGAGCTGGCATTGATGGACACTGACAGGTGGCACTGCTGGGGCTACACAGATCAACAGGGCACACTGATAATCAGTGCCCTGATGATTAGTGCACATGTCCCCTCTGAGGGATGCCGATTACCGGCTCTCCTCTCCTCATGAGCTGTCGGCGTGACAGCTCGTGGGGAGAGAAATGCCGATAACCGGCATTTCCCTGTTTACATGTGATCAGCTGTGATTGGAAACACCTGATCACATGACCGAGCTGACATCTTCAGCTCTTTCCGTGGATCGGTGATCCGCTGTATCCGAGGGACACAGTGCACCGCCGATTGCCGCGCTCCGGGAGCCGCGCATGCATGGTTAGAATGGGAGGACGTCATATGACGTCCTCCCAGAACAAGAGAACCACCTTGCGTCCGTCATATTACTATATGGCGGGCGGGAGGTGGTTAAGGTGCTACCAGGCAACATCTGCTGTAGGAGAAGGCTGACTTTCCATGTGCTCTCATTTATAGTTATTTCGCCGATGACACACGTTTGTGTGCGCGATTGCTGTGCAGCGTATATACACAGTGTTCCAAATTATTATGCAAATGATATTTTTCTCATTTACCTAAATAATTGATGTAAATAACAGTCAGCATAATTCTCATGTTATCAACTATTAAGAGTAAAATTCAAAATTTTATTGAAAAAAACCTCAATTATAACAGTATTTTTTTTAAACATAAAAAACTTACAATGCACTGTTCCAAATTATTACGCACAGTAAGTTTCAAAACACTTCATAGGTTGTAAAGAATTGAAAATTGTTATTTGTTGTGTTTGCAGCATATTTACTGAAATCAAAAGCTATTTCAATCAAACTTTTAACAACATTTTAAGTTTTTAAACATTCTAACAGGTCACGTTACATTGTAACATAGGACCCCTTATTTGATAGCAGCTTCACAAGTCTTGCATCCATTGAACTTGTGAGTTTTTGTACAGTTTCTTCTTGAATTTGTTTGCAAGACAGAATAGCCTCCCAGAGCTGCTGTTTGGATGTAAACTGCCTCCACCCTCATAGATCTTTTGCTTGAGGATGCTCCAAAGGTTCTCAATAGGATTGAGGTCAGGGAAGGATGGAGGCCACACCATGACTCTCTCCTTTTATCCCCATAACAGCCATTGATGCAGAGGTATTCTTTGCAGCATGAGATGGTGCATTGTCATGCATGAAGATGATTTTATTACGGAAAGCATAATTCTTCCTTCTGTACCAGGGAAGAAAGTGGTTAGTCATAAACTCCACATACTTTGCAGAGGTCATCTTTACACCTTCAGGGACCCTAAAGGGGCCGACCCGCTCTGTTCCCATGATTTCGGCCCAAAACATGACTCCCCCACCGCCTTGCTGACGTCGCAGCCTTGTTGGAACAAGGTGGCCGTCCACCAACCATCCACTACTCTATCCATCTGGACCATCCAGGGTTGCACGGCACTCATCAGTGAACAGGACTGTTTGAAAATTAGTCTTCATGTATTTGTCTGCCCAATGCAGCCGTTTCTGCTTGTGAGCATTGGTTATTGGTGGCCGAATAGAAGGTTTATGCACAGTTGCAAGACTCTGGAGGACCTTGATGTCTGTGGGACTCCAGAGGCACCAGCAGCTTCAAATATCTGTTTGCTGCTATGTAATGGTATTTTAGCAGCTGCTCTCTTGATCCGATGCATGGATCTGGCAGAAATCTTCCTCAATGTGCCTTTATCTGCATGAACCTGTCTGTGCTCTGAATCAGTCACAAATCTCTTAATAGTGCGATGATCACGCTTAAGTTTTTGTGAAATATCTAATGTTTTCATACCTCGTCCAAGGCATTGAACTATTTCACTCTTTTCGGCAGCAGAGAGATCCTTTTTCTTCCCCATAGTGCTTGAAAATGGTGCTCTGCTTAATAATGTGGAACAACCTCCTTTAGTAGTTTTTCCTTAAATTGGGCTCACCGGTCAATCTAATTATCACAGGTGTCCGAGATTGTTTTCAGTGATCAAAAAAAAAAAAAAAAAACCCTGACACACAATGCCATCCATGACTGAAAAACAAAATATTTAATCTTTGTGGCACTTAAATAGAATTTGCATAATAATTTGGAACTCGGTGTATATGTGCGAGAGCAGGTTCAGCCTCGTGAATGTACATGGTTGCTGAGATGGCAAACCAGGATGTGAATGAGGAATGTTTAGATACAGCTTTGACATTTTTCCTGCAAGGGTTTTGTGATGCAGCTGAAGATGCTGCTCCTGCTCCTTTGGTACACTTACGCCAGCCACGGCTCTTTGCAGAATGTACATATATGGAAAATATGCAGGACTCGAATATCCGGTGTCGGTTTCGTTTAGGACGAGATGCAATTGTGCACCTCTATCAGCTCATAAAGGAAAAGATTGTGCCCACCACACGGCGCAGTCATGCTCTACCTGGGATGGTCAAGTTGCTGACTACCCTCTATATTTTGGGTCACAGCAGCTTCCAAACCACCTCTGGACTTCTTGTTGGTATAAGTCAACCAACTGTGTCCAGGGTTTTTATGCAGATCATAGATGCCATTCTTGACCTGGTGCCCCAATTTATTCACTGGCCACAAAATGAAGATGAGTGGAATGGGGTGAAGGTGGGTTTTTACCTTTGTGCCCAAATGCCACAAATCCTAGGGGCAATCTATTGCACCCATATAGCAATCAGAGGCCCCAAAAGAGATGAAGTGGACTATCGGAACCGCAAGCAGTACCACTCTCTCAACATGCAAGTTGTCTGTGGCACCAGACAGCGTATCATGAGTGTGCGGACAGGTTTTCCAGGTTTGTGCCATGATGACTTTATACTCCATCAGTCGGGTGTGTACCGGAAGTTTGAGAGTGGCCAAATGCCAGCCGGCTGGCTTCTTGATAAAGTATTGTGTGTGTTTGTGGCTCCACATGAACTATAATGTTGAATGCATGTTACCAAAGTTGACATAGGGCCAGGCCCCCGCGGTTATGACGCCACTGTGCTTGCCAATCACAGCAATAACATGATCATAAAGATAACCTTTGCACACATACATCCAGCCTTTCTCTGGCCACACTGAGGACTGTGCTGGGAACACCCTCTCAGCCCAGAAAAATGTTAACCTAACGCCACATAGATGTTGACTCTAGGCCCTAAAACAAAAACAAGAGGCTGCATATATGCACCAATCAGCAGATAATGTGGAAAAGACATAAGTAAGGTCCATGTATTCCAACACTGACTTAATGCCCTAAAGTGCTTTGACATTCACATTGTACAAAACCTGGTCAGTGTAAAATGAAGAAAGGCAATCATGTCTAGGTAGAAACCAACCTTAGAAATACTGGACGGTGTGAACTTCTATATAGTATATAACCATACTACTGCAATTACTTGACCACATGTGTTCTTTTTTTCACAGGGGATGCCGGCTATCCGCAGCTGATGTGGCTGATGGCTCCAGTCAGGTACCCCCCAGAGCCTGGCCAAAAGTACCTATAACAAGGCTCATTCAAAAAGCTGAACTATTGTGGAGCATACCATAGGACTTCTTAAGTCACGCTTTTTATGTTTGGCCAGGCCTGAGGGTGATTTACTATACTCTCCTCAGAAGCCTTCCAGGATCATCCTCGCCTGTTGCCTCCTACACAACATCTGCCAGGCGAGGAATGATTCCTGGGAGACGACTGAGGAGAGGGAGCCTGAAGTCAGTCAGCTGCGGGTTTCCCGAAGGCGGAATACTGAGGACAGGATGGCCACGCGAGCTGACCTTATTACCCGCTACTTCACATGTACGTACACTCGGCAGAGGACAGCTTCCGGGGACACTCGGCAGCGGACAGCTTCCGGGGACACTCGGCAGCGGACAGCTTCCGGGGACACTCGGCAACAGGCTTGCAGGGACTTGGCAGGGTCTGGCCTCAACTCAGACCTCACACAGCACTCTCAATGCTTCCTGGTTGCCCCGGCAACAGCCAGCCTGGCGTCGGGTTTCCAGGGCAACAAGCCCCTCCCTCACTCCGCCCACGCACAGGGAGTGCGGCCTTTGTCTCCGACGGGCACAGAGTGTGGGAACCTCGGGGCCGCGCTGTGCCCGCTGAGACAAGGGGAGAGGGCATGCAGGGACACCCAGGTGGCCTGCACGTGGGGAATCCACGTGCAGGCACAGCGGGGTGGCCGACTTCTCAGTGTCTGGCTGAGGAGAGGTGCGAACCGCACTGCAGGGGGCAGATCCCTGGTGCCTGGCACACCCCTTTGTGTGGGCTATGTGCAGGCGCAGGGACATGTAATAGGGAAGTGAGGGAGTGAGAGGGGACCGTGACAGAACAGCAACTTATAGTGGGACTGTGGCGGACATTCTTGCCACTGGGGGGAATTAACTTGGTGTCCCTGACATCCCCAGTGACACCAATACAGTGATCACTGCTCCCAAAAAAAGCACAGGCGCTGTACTAATGGCACTGGGCAGGAAGGGGTTAACATGTGGTGCAAGCCAATGGTTACCTGTGTGCTGTGTCTGTGTGCTTCACTGTAAGGACACTGCTTTGGATGGCTGTGCTGGGCACATCCATCCAAAGCAGTATGCACAAGCTGACAGGGAGGAGAACTGTCTTGTTTACATGCAGTTATCCTCCCCATCAGAGATGCCCGTGAATCAGCGGGCGCCAGCGAGTAATCGGCAGCAAGGACCCAGGGATTGACAGCCGAGGCTAAAAAGGCAACACAGCCAAGGTAGGCGCTCCCATGTCGCCCTGTAGCAGGATATTGGGTAGAGGGCGGGTGCAAAGCATTGGTTGCCATTTTAGCCAGTGTGTGGTCAACATGACAACAAGTTGTCCTGGCCCTTCAAACATTACATGAATAAATGCTGTGGTTTTGGGCAAGAGAGTGAAAAGGAAGTAGAACAGCTGGCCAGTTTTGGCTATTGTCTGTGCCACCTGTTCTGGTGTGAGCCCAAGAAGATTCATTCATTTGCCACGGAGCATAGAGAGGCAAGCTTTTCAAGCACATCAGGAAATCAGAATGGGGCTCCACTTCAAGTAAGCATTAGTGTGCCTGGGGGAGGGGGGGCCTTGTGTCTTTCCAAACACAGTAAATGCTCCAAAAATGCTTACTTCAACTCCTGAAATGGTTACAAAGGAAAAAGATACTCTAGCTAGCCTGCACTGAGAATTGACTGTCATGATGAAATGTCAATGATTATTTGCTCTCATTTTAC